AAGGTCATATAAACAACACTTTATGTTTTAACAATTTTTGATGCAATGTTTAAAGGAAAGAACCCTATTAACCAGCTTATACTATTTATGGGAATCTCCAAAGGCAACTCTTTCAAAAAAATTCAAAATAAATGCTTTAAATGGTCTTAAAACTCATATCCTATCATTACTAATGCAACTAAAGACGACATGGCGCAATGCATTTGATTATCAGATATCTTGGTGTAAAGTTTCAGGTTTTTAATTAAAAAATGACCTCTGAGGTCAAGAAGCATATAGTTTRCAAAACAAGAAATACTTCGTACAATTTTGCGAACACTCGACGTAGACACAGCCTTTCCCTCGTACTTCGATTGACCATGTGATAGAAACAGAAAAGCATCTATAAATGTGACTTTTGTGTCACATGATATATTTATGACGTAATTGATTGTAATTGGGGTGCCTGTGGTATAGCTCATAAAGCATCATGGGGGACTATACGCGACGTTGATAGATAGATAGATTGATAGATTGATAGATTGAACAGAAGGTAGAACTAAAGTCGTGCCCAGGCCTAAGGCCTGCGCCCGACTAATGAACAATAGATACATGAAAAATCATTTAATTTGTCCTTTAAATCGTGGTCGCTATGCATGTCATATGCGAGGCCGTAAAGTCAAGTCAGTGAAGCTTACCTCTACCTACAACCATGAAAAGTTTTTCAGGGACCGCGCAGCGGGAATCTGTTTGGGACCGCTAAAACCGCACACACGGTCACATATATTTCTGACCGCTAAAACCGCACACACGGTCACATGATATTCAATAAAATCCCAAAGACTTCACAAAAAAGCCTCAATTTTAATTGTTTTTACACAATCTTCACATAATGAAAAGTGAAATTTCACAAGGAGGCTCTTCGCTTCTTTATTTAAGAAAATTCAAAATGGCGGAAAAATTATTGGGTGGGCTGTAGCTCCCCAGCCCCCCTGCCCCACGGTCCATGAAGTAGTTTTTGTTGCTCAGTTCCTATCGCACAGCACGAGCATTGCTAAGACAGTTAATCAATGTCGAGGGTTCGAGTCCAATGGGTATCAAGAAACTTTTTTCAGCAATTCTTCACAATACAGAATGTATTGTTACTAAGACTGTTCCAGTTGAATGATAATGGATAATAGGTCACTAAATAAATACTATTTGTTAGTAACTATTTAGATTTTGTTTCATGGACATAGCAGACATAGTGTAAGCACTCTATATAGTCACATAACAATGAAAACTGATTCAATGAGGTAATAACGGTTGGTGTCTTATATTGAGTTAAACATTTCTGCTTCTATTCGTTCGAAAGAAAGGTTGCAGCTAAGCTAGATCAAGCAAGTGGACTTTTTTTATTTGTTTTTAGTAATGTCCTCTTATTGACACACTCTTGAAAGTGGTTTCACTGCAAAGTTTTGAATATCACGTTACTAAATGTTGTAAGTTTTGCACAGTCGTTCGAAATCCGTTAAAAATCCGTTCGAAATCTTAAACGTCATAAATTTGAGTACTTCTGCAGTAACGCAAGAAAATATATAAAATCCCAACCTATGCCGTAAATTTGCACACATTAACAAGACCATTGAACATTTATTTATTCCAAATGAAAAAGGCAAAGCAAAACTTTTCTGTGATAGTTATTTCTATGTTCATCAAAAAATCTTTCTTTTCCAGATATAATACAATGAGTTACGTTCACAAACCGAACGTCAAACCGCTGGAACATAGGACTCCTTTTCAGTTACTGCGGGCACATGCTGCAGCCCACCCAAAGAAGGAAGCTTTTGTATTCCGTGACCTCACAAAAAACAGGATTCCCATCACATTCCAAGAATATGAAAGGACATCCCAGTGTCTTGCATCAGGACTGCTGACGATAGGAGTTAAGAGAGGGGACAGAGTAACACCGCGGTCAAACATCTGCGCATGCGTGGCTTTTTCGAAAACAAAATGGAGGACAGTGAAGCGTGGCGATAATTGTTTTTGGATATTCTTCGCATTTTTTCTTGGATTTCGGGCTTTGATCGGCAACGAAGTTTATTACACGTACCCTGCTATGCAGGGGGTACGTGTAGTAAAATGCTGACACTTTCTTGGTTTTTTGTTGTTTTTTTTCACAATGTCGAAAGTTTGGCTTCGGTACATCTTCGTAGCCAATCACATTGTGAATTATATATCCGGTAGCCAATCACATTACGTTGTGTATTCCGAACGCTATAGCCTGTCGATAATCCCGTTCGCAACATTTCCAACTCGTTCTGCACAATGTTTTATCCGCCATTTTGATGAATATTGTCTCTACTAACGAATATGGAACAGAACATGAAGGTTTACGACCAAAATCTGGAACTCATTACTTGTCTGGGTGTTCGGACCAAGGGTATGTTGAATTGTGATGACGAGGAGATCTCACTACAGAGATCAACACGCTTACTACTCGTGAAGCAACGGCAACGATATAGTGATTGGGTTCCAATGATTGAATATCAATACAACTCTTTAGAAAATGCTTATTAATTCCATGGCTATTCAAACATCTGCAATAGATATGTCGAGTTTTAATGTAGATGTGCAAAAATATTGTGTTACTATCATATCAAAAGTTAATAAAGCGTCACGTTGTAACCAAATCATGCCTAGTTATATATCTCCGGGTATATCTGACCTTAAAATTATACTGCAGAATCACAAAGGCAGTTACAGCTGAAATTTTAAGAGCCACCACATATAAGCTTATCGCAANGCTAAAGTTTGGGGGAGGGGAGGGTACAGTCTGTAACTAAATGTCGACTTTTTTCCGCTTTTTAAAAGGAAATCACGAGAAATAACTAGCAAACATGATTATTTAGACCAGAAACAAATGATTGAAGCGATTTTTTGTCAATTTTTCGAAAATTTCAAAAATACCCTAAATCGTCACTTAAGTTGTTTTAGCATCCGCCCCTTCATGTCTTGTAGGTCAATCAGTTAATCAGTCATTTTTCCGTCAAAACCGCACAGTTATCCAGACAACAAAATCACACAGTTAGCCAAACACTTTTTCGTCGAAATACATAAGTTAAACAACTATTTTTTCGTCTAAGTTGAACTGTTAGCTAGGCACTTTGCCGTCTAAATTGACCAAAAACCAGACACCTTTCTGTCTAAGTCGGACAGTTGGTCAGACAAGTCATCTTATTAAGTCTGTTAGGTAGACACTTTAACGTCTGAGTCCATTAGGAAACCAGACAATGTCGTCGTCTAAGTCAAAGAGTCAACTTTGCCGTCTAAGTCATTCAGGCGGCCATGACAATCTTGTATCAGTTGATTTATTTTATTATAAAACTTATTAATAATGCATAAGCTATTGCTCCAATAAGGGCTGACCATTTAATCAGGTGATTGACCTTGTAAATCTGATACAACCACTAGTGTTGTATCAGATTTACAACACGGTCGTCACCATTGAGACAACCCAACACCAGCAAAGGTCTCAGTTTTAGTGTCGCATCATAGACCTTCACTAGGTTTTGAAGCAATCAAAGACGGATAACAGAACTCGCTTATGCAACAGATGGCTTGCTTTCCATGTGGGATGGATAATTATTCAAAATGTTCTGTGTTGCAGTCAATTGCGCATGCTTAATAGGGACTTATTTGTCATTTTTCGTCATTTATCTCACTGTAATTCATGTTAATTTGTGTTGGAGTTTTATAAGTCGTTTACAACATTCGCGTCCGTGTTGTATGAGAATTACAATCTCTCGCCTGCGGCTCGAGATTGTAATTCCCATACAACACGGCCGCTCATGTTGTAAACTATACTAATTATACAGTCAACTCTCTCGTAAGTGACCACCTCGGGTGGTCGCTTATGAGAGATGGTCGCTTACGAGAAAGTAGTTTATATAGGAAACTGAACAAAACGGGAAATTGAAAAGGTAGTGGTCGCTTAAGGTAGATGGTCGCCTTACGAGAGTGGTCTTTCTTGGTCTTTCAAAGAGAGTCAACTGTATATTGATTGTTTTTCTTTTTTCTTTTTTTTGTAGGAAAGAGTCTCTATATTACACTTTCAAAGTCCACATATCTCAAATCTGCAGTACCAGTTTTCTCTTTATGTGATCGAAGTCAACAGAAGATATAGCGAACAACCACGTTGACGGTGTTGAGATTTGTAAATAAAATCTATCAAAAAAGTATTTGACATCTGTTTTAAAAAACCTTTGTCGGGGAGAACGGTGATTATCGAAGGGAGATTGCATGTCGAAAGGGACTATGGTTACRTTGTTTGACATACACAATTTCACTTGTTCGATTGACCTTGCGTGAAATTGTAGATTARATGGAGCCCCACAATGTTTACTGGGTGTGTCGCCAGGACCTCAAAACCCTGACCCTGTCCCAGACCTGAAGTTTCGACTTTTCATACTCTATCCCAGACTAAACCTAAGTGTATATAAATGCACGTCACAACAACGCCACTTCAATAAAAACAAGAATTCAGGATAACACTGATTTCATTGATGGGACTGAATAATAGCTAATGTGTAAGTCTGTCATAAACGTGACAAAATTCTCTTCACTCATAACGGCCCTGTAACATCAGCAGTCGTGACGTCCTTGTGTTACCTGTCCTTTTCCTTTGACTGAGGTCATCACTCACTGCCAAGCACAACATCAAGGGTTTTTAGGTATAAATTAAAATCATGCAAGCCGTCCATCTGTAAGTACGCTTTACCAGGTGAGTCACTACGCTTAAAAATAGCATGACTGATCGTTCTAATTTCTACCGGTTTTGCATTGTATATTCATATGGCGGTGAAAATCACAAAAATCTGACCCTAAAAATTGAAGTAATAAATTATTATTCTCGAACTTAATTTTTGTCACACCAAAGCCATTGTTTTGAGCATTTTKCATTCTAACTGTTCTGACCCACTCTTAAACTAAACTCTCTTAAATTCTTGTAAGTTTGTAGATACTATTTAAAGCTCTCGACTGGTAATTAATGACCGAGAACGGAGGCTACTGACAGTACTGTATTGGTCGTTTTCATTTCCGGCATACGATACAAAAGATAAAAGACCGGCGGCCATGTTAGAAGAAGGAACAATAGATACATGAAAAATCATTGCATGTCATATGCGAGGCCGTAAGGTCAAGTCAATGAAGCTTACCTTTACAACCATGAAAAGAAGTACAGGGACCGCGTAGCGGGAAGGGGGGGGGGGATCTGTTTGGGGGGGGGGGAGGGGGCAGGAGTAACTCTCGGAGATGTCATTTCCAGCGTTTTGAGACGTTTTCCAATACATATATTTCTGACCGCTAAAACCGCACACACGGTCACATGATATTCAATAAAATCCCAAAGACTAATTCACAAAAAAGCCTCAATTTTAATTGTTTTTACACAATCTTCATATAAAGAAAAGTGAAATTTCACAAGGAGGCTCTTCGCTTCTTTATTTAAGAAAATTCAAAATGGCGGAAAAATTATTATTGGGTGGGCTGTAGCTCCCCAGACCCCCTGCTCCGCGGTCCATAAAGTAGTTTTTGTTGCTCAGTTCCTATCGCACAGCACGAGCATTGCTAAGACTGAGTTAATCAATGTCGAGGGTTCGAGTCCAATGGGTATCAAGAAACTTTTTTCAGCAATTCTTGAATGATAATGGATAATAGGTCACTAAATAAAAACTATTTGTTAGTAACTATTTAGATTTTGTTTCATGGACATAGTGTAAGCACTCTATACAGTCACATAACAATGAAAACTGATTCAATGAGGTAATAACGGTTGGTGTCTTATATTAAGTTCAACATTTCTGCTTCTATTCGTTCGAAAGAAAGTTACGGCTAAGCTACAATCGTTGACAAAATACCTTGGACCGTAGCGCTCTTTTTGCACAATATCTATAATTATCTTCCTGTATCTCAGTACTTATCCCCCCATAATGTTGCTAGTGACCTTGGATGCTTGTGTCGTTTGGACAGTCGCAAAACGATCACATCGCAACCATTTCCACACAACATTGCTTCAGTCAGGGGGTGTTAGGGGGTTAAAGTGGATGCATTTCTTATATGGTAGTGCTAAAAATAGCTAAGTTTAAAATTATGGTCCAAGGTTTTTGGCAACGATTGTAAATAAAGCAAGTGGAATTTTTTTTATTTGTTTTTAGTTGAATGTTCTCTTATTGACACACTCTTGAAAGTGGTTTCACTGCAAAGTTTTGAATATCACGCGCTACTAAATGTTGTAAGTTTTGAACAGTCGTTCGAAATCCGCTGGACTATCTTAAACGTCATTAATTTGAGTACTTCTGCAGTAACGCAAGAAAATATATAAAATCCCAACTATGCCGTAAATTAGCACACATTAACAAAACCATTGAACATTTATTTATTCCAAATGAAAAAGGCAAAGCAAAACGTTTCTGTGATCGTTATTTCTATGTTCATCAAAAAATCTTTCTTTTCCAGATATACTACAATGAGTTACGTTCACAAACCGAACGTCAAACCGCTGGAACATAGGACTCCTTTTCAGTTACTTCGGGCACATGCTGCAGCCCACCCAAAGAAGGAAGCTTTTGTATTCCGTGACCTCACAAAAAACAGGATTCCCATCACATTTCAAGAATATGAAAGGACATCCCAGTGTCTTGCATCAGGACTGCTGACGATAGGAGTTAAGAGAGGGGACAGAGTGCTTCTAATGTTGCCGTCTTGTCCTGAATTCTTGTTTTTCCACTTGGCTTTGAATAGAATYGGTGCTGTAGCGATTATCGGCGAAGAAGACGGTATTCCATCCGTAAAAGCTATCAACAAACTCACTTGTTTGATATCAAAGACTGACTACCACAGTACTRTTGGTCAGCAGGTTCTGGAAGAAATACATTCCTTGCTTGAAGAGCAAGAGAATGTGAAAGTTGTTTTAATTGGATGTAAGGTAAAAAGAATGTTTTCTAAATTCTTGGAAAATATTCCCACATTGAGGATTTCGATCCTTTTTCAGGGAGAGCTTCTTCAACACAAGCGTGTAATGTCCTATGAGGACTTGTCTAACATAGCAAGCAACAGCCCTGATAGCCCAAACATTCTGCAGCAAGCTGAAGACCATGTCTTAATGGACGACCCATTCATGATCATGTACACTTCTGGAAGTASTGCCCTCCCCAAACCAATAGAATACACCAACCATGGTTTTGTGAATGGATGCATCAAGGACGGCTTAGCTATGAAGTTAACTGCTGATTCTAGGGAATTTATGGACTCCCCATTTGACTGGATGCCTTGCATGGGGTTGGGCATTGGTGTTGTGGTGACGATCGGCTGTACACTGGTCGTTTTCCCTCCTAAAATTGGCTTTAAAGGTGGCTCCACTTCGAATATCACCAAAGTCATGGCCGAGGAGGAATGTACTCATTGTTTTGTCCTCCCTTACTTTCTTCACGACCTGGTTTCCAATGGAGTTAAAGGTGTAGACCTCCGAAAGTTAAAGTACTTGTCCACAGGTGGACAGCCATTGAACATACCAAAAACCAAGAAGTTACTGGCCGTATTACCTGAAGCAACATCAGTCCTAAATGTTTATGGGTCAACAGAAACTTGTATTTTGGCGACTCAAATAGTTCATAAGGACAATATTGATTTTGTAGAGCCTGGTGTGTTGGATATTGCTCCTGGCTTTGAGATAAAAATCATCAACCCACAAGGACAGCTTGCACCATTTGGAAAACAAGGTATGTATTAAATGCAAACTGAATCATACAGATTATAAATATTACTGTTGTTATTTTCCGCAGGTGAAGTCTGTGCAAGAGCAGCTTGGGTAAGCTTCCCTAACCCCGACATGTACAGGATTTCCCTTCAAACACCGCTCAAACCACCTATCAACAACTGGCATCACTTAAAAGACTGCTGCTCATTCAATGGCCAAGGACAGCTCAAGTTGTTTGGAAGAATGGATTTCCTTATTAAATGTGCCACGGAATCTATCCAACCAACGGAAGTTGAATTCGTTTTGTACAAACATCCAGATGTAGACAAAGTGTGCGTCTGTGGAGTTCCTGATCAGCGGTTATACCAAAAGATATGTGCATGCATAGTAATGAAAGCGGGAAAACCAGGTGACGAAGCGTCGTTTAAAGAATGGAGCAAAGATAATTTTCCTGAGATGTCTCTGGGATTGTCGCTTCGACCACATTACTATTTGTTCATGGAGAGTTTTCCTTTGACGCGAACAGGAAAACTGTGCCGTAGGCAGACTCAAGAATTGGCAATAAAAAAACTGTCTCAACTTTAAACATCAATATTCAGAACCAGTGAATCATTGTGAAGTGTACGGAAATATAGTCAATTATTTTGTTGTTCCTTTTTTCWCTTTAGATTTTTTCGACTTTTAAACCCATCTTTGTTGCATTTAAGTTCATCCACGTTTTTTCAATATGGTTACTTGTTCAGTTTGGCCATTGTGTTTGTCACTGAATAAACACTTTGTAACAAATTCCAATGTTTGCCTATGAACCTGGAATAATGTAATTTTCAACATTTTTATTTGTATTTGCTAATATATTACACCTTATAGACTTTGACTAGTGTTAATTGTTAGTTTATTGAACATGGAAGGTAAACCGTGGACGGAAGGAAATTCCCAGAAAGAACAGAGACAAAATAATGTTTTTCTTCCAAAAGAAATCTGTCAAACTATTGTAAACTTTTACTAGGTACTACGTCACCGGCGCTGCCATGTGGGACCGCAAAAGCTTTTCACGAAAAGAGATTCTCATGTTAGCACCAAACAAGGGACGATTTATTAAAGTTAGACGGAAAAACGTTTCTAATATTATAGATAAACGATCAAACAGAAAGATGGATTTTTTTAAAGCCGCTTTTACTTAGTCACAGTTGTCTGTGAATTTGTTATTTGAAGCTCTTTGAAATTTTCATGATACTTTAGGCCATGTAGGCGTCCAGTATACTCATGCAAGGAAACGCTCTTGTACAGGTTTCAAAGTCAAGGGAGCCCGCGCGCCTAATACACTACAATAATCGGACCTAGAAAAGACGGCATGCAGAGCAGAAGGGGTTAGTCACGAATGGACCAGGATCCGACTAATCACCTCCCTCGTGGCTGGGCGCAACGGTCATCCATTCGGATGGGTGACCGTTTTGTACTCGATCTTTTTTTTCCTTTTTTTCCSCTCCTGCTTCTTCTTCTTTTTCTTTTCTGCTCTTCTTTTTTTAACATTATGATTTTTGGCCGCACTTTAAATTGGGACAAATTATTCTAGATTGATACAAGATAATCCGTTTCACTCCAAAACATTGTACCACCTTTCTGAACAGATCGCAAAGACGGTCTCTTTTCCTGATTTTTCCATATTTATCATGAATTGTAACTTATATTAAGAATAGCACTTCTGGAAAAGGGAAATATTCAAGCGCAACGTTCAGAGACAAAATAATATTTTTCTTGCAAAAGAAAACTGTCAAACTATTGTAAACTTGTACCAGGTACTCCGTCACCTGCGCTGCCGTGTGGGACCGCAAAAGCTTTTCACGAAAAGAGATTCTCATATTAGCACCAAACAAGGAGCGATTTATTTAAGCGTAAGAATAGTACTAGCACGTGTACAGAGCCTACCAATGGGCCTTTATAGCTATAGAATAGGCAATGTGCAGTGACGCTATTTTGTGCAGCAAAGGATGATGGTAGTTGTAGTCCTCGCACTTTTCATGTTCGCATTAACGGTCCTCCCAACGAGTTTTTGCTTTTAGATGTATTTGTGCCGTTTTTAAAAAGAAAATGTAAAAAAACGGCTTTTAAGGAGATATTTTAGAGGCTATGAAAAGTGCGAGGACTACAACTACCGTCATTTTAAATTTTCAATTATGTCAATTAAGAAAGTGAAAAAACTGCACTGAAAGCGATACATTTTGACTGCAAATTTTAAAGACAGTATCATCCTTACGCTCACTCGTTATAAATATATTTTTTCAACACCTAAAAAATGAAATCCGTATCTCCGCGCGCCCATGTAACATCCTCTTTATAATAAAAAGACATTTCAGGTTTACAATACTTTAATTATCGATATTATTATCATATCCATGATTATTATTATTCAGTATTATTTTAGTAACACAGAAGTCAGCGTCAATCCTGATGAGCTTTATTTCACTCCTTTTAATTGATTTTATGCTTTTTGACAACAGTTGAAAAGCGCATTGACAATATTGCATTTTTTCCATCCGCCACCACAGTCTCCACCAATATATGACTGTTCTCCATCCAGAACATCAGATCTATCACTGCATCTACAAGGGATGCCACGCTTTACTGCCCTATCTGTGGAAAGATGACAAAACGAAAATAATGTTGTGGGCATTTTTATTGATAAGTGCTATGATATTATTTGGGGCTTTTATTCAAATTCCAGGGGGAATAGTTTCCGATGTGAGTGCCGATGTGAGTTTCATAAATAATCAACTTGTAAAATATACATCGCTTGTCCTTTCAAGGAAAGTTTAAAAGTTTTTGGTTAGTTTTTGATTCTTTTTTTTCTTTTTTGAGATGACTGTCGTCATGATCACCATTCTTTTTGTACACAACCAGACGCTCTTAGAGCTGTTACTCGGGCGTAAGGAGTTTCGTGATAAATGACGTCTGATATAACATATTGCATGACAACGTTTCCCCAGTTTTGATTTCCATTGAACAAGAGAAGTCAAATATTGCAGTCAAATATTAAGAACATTTCACAGTCACGTGATTGGTGACATCGCATGACATCGAACAAGTGAGCTGTGTGACAGACAGAAAGGACTTCTGGGTAATTCATAACTCAGTGACACGGCCTTTTGGTCTGTCTGTGTCAAACATACTGTGGGCTATTTGGGTACCTGTACTCTCCACACATGTCCACAGTGCTACATGATATATAGGTCATATAGATGCATAAACAACTTGACTCTCGGACTTATTTCGGCCAGCTCGAGTATAAAACATCGTGAAAATATATGGACTAGCAATACGTCGAAGATGACGGTTATCCCAGGACGGTCATGAAAAATGATGGTCAATGATGCACAAATAGAATCTGTGGAAGTTGCTGAACCTTCTAACAACTCAGTCTTACCTGCTTTCGTCACAAGATCAATCAAGTAATTTGCAGCAGCCAAATCGTCATCCTGAGACACTTTACTTTTGGCCAAACAGAGGGAAGCACAAACCCCAAAAATGATCAGTATTGTAGCCTTCATTGCGGTTGATACTATTTAAACCTGGACACAAATAACAGCAAGCATGCAATGTGTATTCAAGACGAAATTCACTTGAAAATGAATCTTTACAAAATGCAGGGTAAATCTGAAATTTGAAGCTTTCTAACTTTTTTTTACAAAGAAATGCCATGGTAAGGTTATAGCCACACTAAACGGCTCACAATGCACTTATTTTTAAAAATCTTTGTGAAATTGGGAAGCTTCAGTTATACTCGAATTTTCAACGAATTATTCTCTTTGTAAATTTAGTAATTTTAGGTCGTTTTTTCAGTGGTATTAGCTGTTTATTTCACATGTGACTGATGTCCTATTGGTCTTCGCTGCTTTCCTGCCTCTTTGTTTAGTATTCTATTTGTGGGCAAAGCTATATGAACAGAAAAAGTCCGTGACATGGCAGAGGCAATCCCATACACAGGAGCAAGCTTAGGCTTTAATTTTAAGCAAATTATTTGATACTTACTCTCGTTTTGCCGAGTTTCCTGTCGAAAGTCTTTTTCTACACGAGCCACGAATGAAAGCTTCAAAAGGTTGCAAATCTTCAAATGACGGCTGCTGAACTGTGATTGGTAGAACGCTAACTACCATTAGATTTGATACACGATTGGCACTATTGATGTCAGTTATGCGAATCAAAAATAAGTTTGATTGACTTTTCAGACACCACACCTGTGATCGTCAAAAGGTAGTCTTGCTCAATATTCTATTTGGGGGAAGCTAAATAAACATTCTAAACATTCACTGATGGCATATATAATAGCGAACAATTAACAACTTAAGGAAATTATCTCATACTTACTTTCGTTTTGCCGAGTTTCCTCTGCGAAAGTCTTGTGAACTGTTGTAGAACTGTGATTGGTGGAACACTAACTGCCTTTGAATTTGATACACGTTCGATGTCAGTTTTGGAATTGACTTTTCAAACATCACACCTGTGATCGGCAAAACATCAACGCAGCTTGCCTTTGTTCCAGTGATTGAAAGTTGTAAAAACTATAACAAAAAAGAACATCACGCTTGTCGCCGGCACAACATAAATCGCCACCCGTACGTGAATTTAAACATGTTGCTGGCCGCATTGAAACAATCTGACTGAAAATATTACGTGTCAGCAAGTTTATTGTATTATGAAGACGCGAAACACATTTGTGCAATACCTTTGCCAAGCTTGCAAAGAGAGCCGTACATAGTGTTCCGTAGCAGGTGGGATGACATTTGATACTTATTAATTCCTTGGTTTCAGAGGGACGTTTTTCGTATCATGTGGACTAGTCCCCTCTACTAACTCTGAGAAAATGAACAAATTGCACTGAAAGCGACACATTCTGACGAAACATTTTTAAAGACAGCAGCGGCTCAACTCTCTACGCTCGCTCGTTGATAGATCTTTTCAGATAACACTCGAAGATGAAATCCGTATCTCTGCGAGCCCACCCACATATCACAAGACAATTCAGGTATATAACAATTTAATTATTATTAATATCATAAATATCAACACAGGAGTCAGCATCAATCCTTGGTGTAAGCTGAAACCTGATCATGATGAGCTATATTTTATTTCTTTTAATTGATTTTATTCTCTTTGACAACAGTTGGAAAGTGCATTGACAATTTTGCATTTTTTCCATCCTTTACCACAGTCTCCACCAATATAGGACTGTTCTCCATCCAGAACATCAGATCTATCACTGCATTTACAAGGGATGCCACGCTTTACTGCCCTATCTGTGGAAGGAAGACAAAACGAAAGTTGAAGCATTTTTATTGATTTATTGCCGGATAGGAGCTTTATTATTACGTCATAAAGGTTATAGTTAATATGATGATGGTCGGTGATAAACATAAAAGATCCTGTGGAATTTGCTGAATCATATAACAGCTAAGTCTTACCTGCTTTCGTGACAAGATCAATCAAGTAATTTGCAGCAGCCAAGTTTTCATCCTCAAACATCTTGCTTTCGGCTAAACAGAGGACAACAGAGGAAAACCCCAGGACGAGTAGCATTTTAGTCTTCATTTTGGTTAATACTATTAAAACCTGTTCAAAAATAATCAAAAGTATGCAATAAGATTTCAAGACGAAATTCACTTTGGAAAGGAACTCTACAAACTGCTTAATTTGAAGTTTGAAGCTCAAAGGAGAGGGGAATTCCATTGTTTTCAATATATAGGACATTTCACAATTTGCATGCACAATTTTGGCTTTACTTTCTCGAATTATATTATGATTATTCGTAAACTTTGTAAATTGACTAATTTTAGGCCGTTTTTGCAGTGGTAGGAATGGTTTTCACTAGCTGTGTTTATTTCTCATTATTTCGAATGGCTAAGTTATCAGTGAAATGTCGCTATTAGTGGCATTCACTGTTGTGACACTGTCTTTATTGTTCAATATTCTATTTGGGCGAAGCTAAATACTAACACAAACACTGGAAAAAATCTCGCGCTTTAAAGGTTGTAAATTTGATGTAAGCGTCCAAAATTCTGTAAATTTGATGTAAATGATTTCCATTAAATTTACAGAATTTTGGACACTAACATCATATTTACATCAAATTTACAACCTTTAAAGCGCGCGATTTTTTTCCAGTGAAACATTGAGTGATGACATACATTGGGAACAAGCTTGGTCTAATTTTAAGAAACTTTTCTCCCACTTACTCTCGTTTTGCGCCGAGTTTCCTTCAAAAGCCTTTTTCTACAAGAGCCACGAATAAAAGTTCCCAAAAACGTTGCAGATTTTTTTTATGACTGTTGTAGAACTGTGATTGGTAGAACACTAACTACTATGATTTAATACACGTTTGATGTCAGTTTTGGAATCAAAAATATGTTTTGATTGACTTTTCAGACACCACACCTGCGATCGTCAAAACTACAACTTGCCTTTTGTTCTAGCGACGGCTTAATGTTGTAATACCATGATCACCTCGGATTCTTTTGTCTTCCGAGGGATGTTTACAAGCGAACATCCCTCCCTCATGAATATGTTATTCATGAGGAACGGAAGGCAAAGGAAACCTTTGCTTCCCAGCAGGGACAACTGAATGTCCCTACAGCTGTCTTCTTTTTACCTCGGCAATGAACGGTCTGGTTATCGTCTCAGTCACACTGAAATGTGGGATGATTTTTGGGCCAAATTGACAGAGTAGCTCTGGTTCCGAGGCTCTACTTCGTACCGCTGAGCATGTGCACTTGACGAATTTCAATGTTTGATAATAGTTGATAAGCTTCTTGGCATTATACTTGCAAATATAAAAACAACTTTTCGGGGTTGAAGTTAAGGTTCGTTAACTTCAGCATTGAATAGAACTGAAAAGCAATTTCAAACAAAGTTCGTTGTGGGAAATCAGTAACAATGGTCGGATTATCAATATCATTTTGTACTGTTGTTCGGCGAGTGATACTCTTAGAACAGTGCGTATC